TGTCCACGCAGATACGGTGACAGAAAAAGATGAGAGGATGCAGCTGTGGAAACCTGATAGGCTTGGGCAGAGCTGCTGCTGCTCCCCCAACCCAAGGGGGGATGCACACACGTGAACCCACACTGTTCCTCCAACAGCTGACCAGCACGGTCACTACAAGCTGGATCACAGTCAGTGCGAGTCCATCTGCCGAGGTCTCACAGGATCAACCCTACATCAGTCCCTCAACTCCACAGGCCTTTACAGGGGCAGCAGGAGACCCTGAACAGCCAATTCCCACCCAAGGCATGAGCCTGTCCTGCTCCACTCTCTGGTGTGCCCTGCTCCCGGCTGCTTACAAGGCATTTGGTCTTTGGCATAAATGCTATATGGAGAAGGAGACAAGTTTCACAAGCAAAGAGGAGTTGCTAGGAAAAAACATATGCATTGGGAATCAAATACAGTCCCCAAAGTGGAAGAGCTGTAATCCAGACCCAAGCACAGGATTTCATCTGCTCCCACCAGTCTCCCTGGTGGCCAGGTCCTGTCTCCAGCCAGCCATTGTGGGGGCAGGCTCTGCCCCTCCTTGCCCACCACAGTTATCTGCTCTAAAAACAGCTTCCCAGACTTGATTGACTGGAACCCCTGCCTCCCGGGGAGCAGGGCTGGTTCGGGCACGTCTCAGAAGATGATAAGGAGATTACTGTGTTCTTAAGTTACTTTTTAAGGGGGTGACAAGTTACGTGTGGGAACAAATATAATAGTGACGTTTCTGGGAAGAACAACGGTAAAGACAGAATTTTTTTTTTGTGCTAAAGAAAATAAGCCAATAGAGACTTTTTAATCTTTTTTTTTTCAGTAGACATGCCCTAAACCCAAAACCTAGTGAATAGCTCTGTGAGACTTCTTCCATCAGCCTAAGAGCAGGGACAGAGCTCTGTTCACATCCTCCTTCATCCCCCCTGTCAATTCTTGACTCCAACTTCCAAGGGAAGCGGAACAATCCAGATCAGTGTATTTTTCTGGATCCATTTTCAGAGCAACTTTTACCCCTACAAATCTTACACAGAGCTTCTGTCTGTAGGGTTCCTTGTCCTGCCTTTTCTAGTTCTCAGTTAAAGTATCTCTTTTCCCACGCTCAATCCACCATATTTAACCATTTACATATCATTTTTGGTATTAAACTAGGTGCATTTTTGGTATTAAACAGTGCTAATCTATCTCTAGGACTCCTAGCCAAAACCAAGGACTCCAGTATTTCCTAGAAAAACACTTAAAAAGAGAGTTAGAGAACAATATTAACCCAGCTCCAAGGCAGAGCCTGCTCCACACTAGCCACCGTTTTCTACGATAAAAATCTGTCTGGCAACTGATTAGAGGAACAATAACAAAGAAGCAGAAATAGCACAAGTTGGGGTGGGGGTTCAAAGTTTCCCAGTTTCCTTACCCCTCAGAATTGTGTATTCACAGAGAGCAAACAGGATCACAGGCTGGAAGCCCGTATCCACCACCTACCTCCAAGGCTGCGAGGTCCACACAGAACAGCCCCTTCCCTCTGGGCAGCGTGACCGGCTGACTCTTATCCATGTTCACAGGAGTTTTAGCTGTTGCCCAACGCCATAAACACTGCATTGTTAGTACTATAATCTCTTCCAGAACTAAAGGATTTTACAAGCAGTCATTATTCTTGTTTTAAATATAGGTTTTCAAAGAAATAAAGGAGCCCGACAACGGGACAGCAATTATAACAGCAAGAGCTTTCAAGCTTCACAATGTCTAGACCAAGTCACTGAGCAAAAATAGTCTTTGCTCTGGACTAGAGGAGTCAGCAGATATTCTAAATTGGAGCCGGTGCTCTATTTCTGATAGGAGAGCCTGGGAGCTTCTGTGCTTCCCCTCACGGCAGCTTTATTTGGGAGAGGACTGGGGGGGGGAGAGAGGGGAGGGGAGGAGAGAGAGAGAAAAAGCGCATTGTTTCTCCAACCCCTGAGCTTAAAACTGCTTGCAATTAGGCTGTTTTTCGAACGTGTTATGTCACAGATTAGCACAGTCTCGAAATACCGCCTTCAGCAACACTATAAATGCAGAGGGAATCAGAACCATTTAAAAAAAGCAAAAAAACATGACCTCAGGCCTTTCTCCTGGTGTGTCCCTGAGGGGCCCCAGGAGAGCCCTCCGCCTGTACCTGCTGCTTCGCAGGGGTGGCTGCACCGTTCTTTGGGACTTGACACCTTCTCCAACGAGCTTCAGGGCCTTGAAGTCCCTGTGTCCCTGATGTGAATACGCTACGAAAGTATTTGTGGGGTTTTCCTTCTCTCTGTAGCACTTTTTGGAAGCATTAAGAAGGAAACCTGGTACGACTATTTCAGTTTTACAGATGAGCTAACAGCATCTTAGAGCTGGGAAGTCATTCCCAGTCATTCCCAGTGTACCTCGTACACCAGCCACAGGACCAGGTATGGGACCCCAGTGTCCCCGTTTTCACTGTCTGACCTGACCACCTCTCCCCAGCCGTTATGCAGCGTGCACAAAGCTAAGGGAAACCAGTATGTATTTCTTAATAACTAACCTATTAAAGCTCCTCCTGTCAGTGAGTTCCATTCTGAAAGCATTCAGCCTCACACGCTGTATGAACTCTAAGCATTGGCAGGAATGATCCCATGACACCTGTAACATTTCTGACTGACAGCTCATCCCAGCCAAACATCTCCTCTGTGCTGCCTGTGCCCCAACCCCCCCCCCCGCTGGCTCCACTGCTATTTTCTAACTGGTGAAATAACAGGACCAAAAAAAAAAAAAAATAATAATCACTGTCAGAACAGAGCAACTGGTTTACTGGCCCGGCTATTTCCACTTCCCCCAGATTACAGCCTGTTCCAACATGCCTACTCAAAAGTCATTTTAATGACCCAATGGGTGTTGCAGTTCTCCTGTCCAGCCAATATAGATGCTATAGAAGCTGTCTGCATGAGGATGCAGAACTTTTAAAAAAATAACCATACATTTGGAGTGACTGAGGAATTTAAGTGCTTTGTACACCTCTCATGTTCCTGTCCCAGAGAGCAGAAGGGACATAGTTCATTACACTGGTCATGGCTTGGGAGGGGGCAGCAAGAGAGCATGAATAAAAATAATAAACAGCTGGAAAATGTTCTCTTCCTGCCTTAGACCAAACCTGAATTTATTGACCCTTTTTAGTGACCGCATGTAGGGAAGGGCAGTCTCAACCTTGTTTGCTCCCTGAATTAGCAGGATGTGGCAAGATTTAAACCATCCACCTCCCTCCCCCCTTCCTCTTCACCTCTTCCCTTCCCCCAGTTCTGCAGCCATCACAAAGGATTTTAAAAAGAGCTACAAAGACATTCTTTTAGGCTCAGGCAATTCCAGTAACCTTAGAAACCAACAATAGTTGGGAGCCTGGCAGTTTGGCCACAGCACCAGGCTGCTTTTCTCTTCTCTCACTGTCCCTGCTGCACCTTTAGCTTTGCTCCCCAAACCCTGCTGGACTGGAAGGCAAGATCCAGCATCACGTTCAAAATAAATAGTAGGAAATAAAGGCAACAACTCGCTCTGAAACTCATCCCACTTCACCAGAGTCTGCTCAGGCACATTAGGACCAAGCTGGAATAGCCTCCATGAAAATTTGCTGAATTTTTCACGTGGTCAGATTCCCACTGAAGTCAAAGAAAATTTTTGCTTATGCAAGGATCAGAGGAAACTGAATGGGAACACTGTGATCCGGGCTGCAGAGCCAAAAATGGGAAAAAGAATGGAAAAAGCATTTTCTGTTTTGTTTAGCCATCAGTGGACTGAGCTCTACTTATATTGCCATTAATGTTAGAGTGAACTGAACTGTCCCCAGCACAGAACAGCACGGGGAAGGTGGGCACAGTCCAGGCCCAAGGGAACAATCTGCTCTCAGTGTCCTGCAGCCCTGGAGTTCCCAGTAACCACCTAAATGTGTCCAGGATTTCAGGCTCCTCTTCCAAAAAGGAAAAAAGTAAAACTGTCAGAGACAGGAGCTGAGGGCCTTGGCTTATCTGGTCATTTCTGATTCCAGCAGAAGTGTCAGGTTATTCTATGCAGTAAAGAGGATTGCAGTGATTTACATGTTGAGAATTAAACTGTAAAGATCAGAAGGTGCCATGGTGTGTGAGCACGAACAGCTGATGCTGGCCACCACACAGAGCACCACAGCAGAGTCACTCATTCCATTCTTTTACACTGATGCAATGCTCTTCGGTATCAGTTTGAATCACAGACTTTACTCATGGGAGGAGAGACATATATAAAATGGAAAAAGACCTCTCTAGTTTCTGAGCAAAGACTCCCACCCAGTCAAAATTCCTGTCAAGATCCACCTGCCCATTACTAGGTTGGAGTCCACTTGATTTTGTAGTCCGAGTGCTGTGTGAGACTACACAGCTTCAACACCATCAGTTTGGGACAAACTTGTAAACTCCATCCCTTTTTGCTAGTCTAAGTTTAGAGGGACACAGAGCTACTGGCTATTTTTGGGTCTTCTCCAATTTATGTATGCTTTTAGAAAGAAATAGGCTGTAACAACTCATTATTTTTATCCATTTGTGGGATACGTCAGTGCACAAAATCGTAACTCTTGGTCCTTTTTTGACTGGTACTGGACAAAGAATATAATATGGTACAGTATTATTGTTATCTAAAGGACAGTAAGTGACTAAGTTACGGCATCATTCTCAGACTTGGCAAGCAGAAGGAGAGAAGGTCCTGGTAATGGAGCACCTTGGTCTCATTCCGAGCAATAGATGTGAGGTGTTGTTCAGCTGTTATTATGAGAAGATCCTACTAAGGTTTGGGAAGAGGGCAAAGGGAAGGCAGTATTTCAGCACTCCCACGGGGTGATCGTTGCTTCTGGGAGTGAGGAAACACACTCTCCACCACAGGCCCCTCCGTGTAAGTTGAGGAAACTCAAACCCAGGGGGCAGCTAGGAACGTCTCACCAGGGAGGGAAGGGTCTGCGCCGAGGGTTGTCCTCCCCTTACCTGTACAACTTCTTTCCTCACGTTGACGATATCTAACCAGTCGTGGAACCTCGGGTAGCTGTTGAGCTCTGCTGTCCTGTCGTTGAGGGGCACGCTCAGCTTGCATTGCCGCTGTCTGTGGATGTAGTCAATCAGTTTCACCTGTTGGGATCCAGAAAGTAAAGTGTAAGTTTCTTGGGATGTGTTGTCACCTTCCTGGGCGATGTTTGTATGGTAGGTAGCCAAAGGGGATGCTGGTTTGTGAGTGGGGCTCTTCCATGATAGAAGAATGACATACTTACACACGCACTCAAGGAAATGGATACGGGAAGCATTTCCCTCACACTGAGCAGCTTTACTCTTCACCATTACAGCAGAAGGCAGGACCTTGCAAGACCCATCCCTGCAGGACTTTCTCCTGGTGTCAGGCCAAAATACGAAAGGGCGCCCAAACCATTTGAAACAATTAAATACACTCAGTTGAAAGGCACTGCACATGTACATGCAACCTCCTCTGGATGCTGTGGGTATTGTTCATCTAACCTGCAGGCCTATCCACCCGCTCATGCCATGTTTGTTACATTCTCTTACATCTGGCCTTCATTTGGGCTAAAAGATCACTAAGGCAGGAATAGCCAAAGTACCCAAAGGCTCTGAGGCCCCTTATCTGATAGGCATTTCTTTTACGAAATCAACATTAAAACAAATGATCTTCAAAGAACAAAAATTGAGGCAGTTGGACCAGATGGTCATGGTATGTCCTCCATTCTACTGTGAAGTTTTCTTCCAAAGCTTTTATCACCCTACCATCTCATGCCAAATGCATTACACAGAAACCTTCACTTCAGACACAGCAAAATAAAATGGCAAGAAGGAATATTATTTGTGCCTTAGGTTTGCCTATCAAAACGAAAATATTCTCAAAAGATTTCTCACTATGTCACATGTTCCCATGGGGCAGACTTCAGCTTCAAAACCTTCCTAACAAAACAATGCCTCAAAGCAAGTTAGCTGATCCGTGATTTATAAACTACAACATGTTCTCAGTCAACAAATTTTAGCATTTGGGACAAGATCAGACTACAAATGAAAAGGAAAAAACAAGCACAGGTTCTTTGACCACTATAATATCTCTCAAGTTTCTGATCAAAATATTTTTGGTCTCTGTATGTGAATGATGCTGGACATCATTTGTGTGCACAATCTCAGTTACACATGGGCACGAGAACTAGGCAATATCTCCTCCTTCCCCAGATAAAGGCTATGTCAGATATTATAGGGAAAAAAGATACCACATTTGATCTCAACTGAATGACCCCAAAGGGAGCCCAATGCTTTTGCCCTGCTCACCAGTCTGGGAGAGCTGCAGCTGAAACCAGAGGAACCCTTTAACCATAACTTCCTACCATGGCTTTGGAGCGTAAGACCTTAAAGAAATTACCTTGGAAATCCCACTCAATTGTTCTCAGTCTCAGAACCTCTTTTTATAAAAAGGGGATGGCAGCACTTCCTTTTTTCCACCCTCTGCTCTCCAGTCAGACCCCTGCAGCAGGGCAGGAACCCCTTCTTCTGCCAAATTGGACAGGGCTGGCGAATCTCAGTTACACATGGGCACGAGAACTAGACAATCTCCTCTTTCCCCAGATAAAGGCTATGTCAGATATTATAGGGAAAAAAGATACCACATTTGATCTCAACTGAATGACCCCAAAGGGAGCCCAATGCTTTTGCCCTGCTCACCAGTCTGGGAGAGCTGCAGCTGAAACCAGAGGAACCCTTTAACCATAACTTCCTACCATGGCTTTGGAGCGTAAGACCTTAAAGAAATTACCTTGGAAATCCCACTCAATTGTTCTCAGTCTCAGAACCTCTTTTTATAAAAAGGGGATGGCAGCACTTCCTTTTTTCCACCCTCTGCTCTCCAGTCAGACCCCTGCAGCAGGGCAGGAACCCCTTCTTCTGCCAAATTGGACAGGGCTGGCGATGGGCTCAGCAGAGGCCTGGGCACCACCCACAGCCACGGGAACATAGTGCCCTGTGCCCTGTGCCCATTACTTTTTTCCACCCTCCGCTCTCCAGTCAGACCCCTGCAGCAGGGCAGGAACCCCTTCTTCTGCCAAATGGGGCAGGGCTGGCGATGGGCTCAGCAGAGGCCTGGGCACCACCGACAGCCACGGGAACACAGTGCCCTGTGCCCATTATACAGAAGTCAGCCCGATCCTGCCTTAGTCAGGACCTTCTGCTTCCTCACTCTCACACGTATTTTCCCGTAACAGCCTACCCAGGGAGCTCTCCCATTCACAGTCGGGTCAGAAATGAGCTTGGAGATGCTGTTCCAAGAATTTTCCTTGCTAAGTGCTTGGTTTAAGTTTTTTCTGCTTCTCATTGTACTTTTTCCCCGCCTCCTGGCTTGGCTTTGTATCCTATGCATTCTGACCCAGTACAGCCAGCTGTCCCACATCAGATGTGACTCTGCTCGTTACCCCACCATTGCAAACAACTCTGTGCCCAGCCGGGGGTAACTCCCATAATTAGGGGGAGGAACTGGAAATGCTGTCTCCTACGGTTAAAGCAATTGTTCCAAGCTATCATGGATCTCGACTTTTGCCTATCTGACCTAAACCTCCTTTTTTAACCGGAAAAACCTACATTCTCCTCATTAGGGTTTCATTCCACCCAAGATACTTGGTTCTTATTGGCTCCAAATGCGGTATGTTTGTATCCTGGTTTCTTCCCTCAAAAGACATTAGGGAGGAAGAGATCAGAACGAGAAAGAGCTGGCTTTGCTGCAGGTAAAGACAAGAACAGGACAGTCAAAGCCCGGACATGGGCAAGGGGAGCACATCTGCCCTTCTCGAAGCAGAGTGTGTCTTGGCAATCCATGAGCTAGAAGCGAAGTTAACCAAGAACACAATAGGAATGGAGGCCATAACAGCAACAAAGAACGGGTGTGAATAGAGGGGGAAGGTTCCCTAATAAGAGGCAGAAAGAAGAGGTTGCTGGAAACTTGAGGACTACTTAATAGGCCCCAATATGCCAGAAGTCAACCTACATAAATCAAAAATAGCTTCCCAGCTGTGCAACAGATATGCCATGGAAAGGGGAAGAAAGGCAGAAATCACCCAAGCCTTCTCTTTTCCGGAGGCCGTTCCAAGCAAGGTTCAGTGACGACACACACTTTGATCCACCAACTGCAACCACAACATCCAGCCCAAGGCAAACAAGCCAGCTGGGTGTCTGTAAGCCGCGGTAGGCACAATTCCCAGGGTACTGCGGTGTGTTCCTGCCTCTTCCCCGGGTCACCTCACCCCTTCCCCATTCCTGGGCACACCTCAGGGCGGCTGAGCACCCAGGGAAAAAGCAAGATTGTTTGCAAAGTGATTTTGAAACTGGTACAGCCAGGCTTATGTGTAAAAGTAGCAGCTCTGCTCCTCAGTCTGATTGTGATCTGTGATTTTGGTGTAGGACCTCCCAGCAGGCAAGATTTATTTTCCTCAAAGAAGGATGGGGTATCAGCACAACCTGTAAAGCTAGAGGTTCACACTTAGCTATATGTAACACTGATTATGTGCAAGTGCCTTAAAAGTAGCAGATGACCCCATATTATAGCAGAGAACTGCTAGCACTGACAGTGGCAAGAAAAGGTGTGGGAATCTGTTGGAAAAACCTTGGTGGAAGGCAAAATGGACTTAGCATCGATTTATAAACTAAAAATCACAAATTAAGTAAAAGAAATTATACAAAAAAATGTACGGTACCATATTATCCTATTACAACCTGCAGTATCCCGAGGACAGCATGCTGCTTTGGGGGAGAATATTCTTGAGGTACAGCCACTACTCTTGCATACCCCCCAAAGTTCTCACCAATTTCAGTGTGACACCAGAAGCATCACATTTAATGAGTAAGAAAATGGACCTTGGCTCCAGGGAGCTGGACTCCACTCCTGGCTCTGCCACCAACCTGCTGTCTGACTGTGAGCAAATTAAATAATCTGTCTTCTCTTCCATCCTGCACGTGGCTCTGCCCCCTCGGACTGCATCAACTCCCTGGAGCAGGTGCTGGTTTTGTACGGGTTCAAATATTTTCACTTGACAAGTCCCATCCATAGCATGAACTGCTGGAAGGCACTCTGTGCAGCACAGATTTCAATGTCAATCTTTTCTTCTTCACTGGGATATATCAAAAATATAATTCTCAAAAATGGAAAAGTAGTCTGACAGCACGGATCTGAGCATCTGAGATTGCCAAGCCTGGTTTTCCCATGATAACTCCTTCACATTTACTCTTCAAGTCCAAATTTGTTTTTCCCTAGACCTATAAATAGTATATTTGCATTCTCTTCCCACCCTACATGCACCACACTTCTCCCCTAGGATGAATTTCATTTTGTTATTTCCTGCCCAGACTTCTAACTAAACTACATGGCTTGGCTTTAATAGCTGAGCTGTTGCAAAACCCTTTTCTGAGAATATAATAAAACTTCTGGGTTCAGTGACGCACATAAAAACCCACAAACAACATGCAGGTCCCCAACCACAAACTAGACAGAGAGATAAAGCCAATAGTAAGCTATTCACGGCCTGCTTGCCAAATGGCACAGCCTGCTCCTGGCAACGGCAAACCCCACACCAGAGGCAGCGACACTCCAACTGCCTCGGACCCACAGAGATGGGAGAGAGCAGGAACAGGGGCAGGATGTGGAGCAGCTGGAGTAAATCCCTGCTTACGGGGTGTCAGAGCTCTCCTTCTCTCTGCCTGGTGCAGCTGATGGCCAGGATTTGCTCCAGGAGCTGCACATGTTGAAGGTACGGTCCTGGATGCACCTTTATCTTAGAGCATTTTTAAAATGAATATCCTTTTACTGCATACGTGAGAATCAGGCCCAAGACGGTTAAGAAAAAACTGCCAAGCTTGTGCTTTTTTATTTATTTATACAAAATAAACAGCAAATCTCTTGAGATAGGAGTTTGCCCATATCCATGACCTCAAGTCAACAGTTGGAGTTTTAATGGCTACGAACAAAACCCAAACATGCCCAAGTTCTTCAGCTGCACTTCTGCAGACAAGGAAGCACAAGAAAGCACCAGCGTCTGTAAAACCAGTTCACTGTCACCAGCGTGAAAAATTCAGGAGTTCTTGGCAAGCAAGGAGGTATTACA